CTAATAAAAGTAGGGCTATAAAAGAACCATTCAACTCTCTGTTCCTCATTTTAGCTTTCGGCCACTGCTCGAATCGGCCTCGTAAATCAAATCTGTTCATAAACAACATCAAAACCAATGAACATGGAAAAAAATTGAAGCCAAATCCACGGCGAAGAACCGAAAAATAAATCAATTAAAAGCATAAACCAATTCTACAACCCTTATCTTCATTGTATGTGCAACACACACACACACACACACACATCTATATACTATATATATTAGAAAAAAAAAAGAGAATTGAATTACCAGCCAGATAGATGACTGATAAGCAATGGATGATCCAATATGGGGACTCTCTGAAGTTCAGTTCTATAGTTGGTCCTCTTTTTCTTTTATATTTCTTTTCTTTTTAAATATCTTACTCACATTTTCTCTGTGAGATAATTTACCTGAAACATAATAGAACTAATTATAGTAACAAAGTCCTAACATATGTATAAAGAAAGCTGCAACAAGAAGCAAAGAATCAGCAGCAAAAATAAAAAAAAAATAAAAAAAAAATGATTAAAGGTAAGATCTTTACTCACATTGATCCAAGAAAAGAATAAAAACCCCCCAAAAAACAAAAACAAGCAGCAGTTTCACCCACAGTAAATTCCAGAGAGTTCTGAACAACAAGAAAACATCAAGAAATGCAGCCCATCAATCATCAACATTTACTTCTCTTAATAACTTCAAAGCAAGCAAAAAAAGGAAGGCTAATTAATCAAAATGAGAACAAATTTCTTTTATTGTTGGTGGGTGAGTGTGAAACAAAGAGTGATGATTATGAGTGAGAGAGTGAAGTGGAGGTAGTTAGGGTTCTTTGTGGCTGAGTTATATATATATATATATATATATAATATATATATATATATATATATATATATATATATATATATATATATATATATATATATATAATTTATTGAGTAAAACCGAAAGATGGAGATACAAAGGTTGAGTCTTTGATGAAAAGAAACTATATTTTGCTATTTGCTACCACACCACAGCTCAGCTCCAACACTTATTACTAGATTTTGGACCTCTCTTTATCTCTCTCTCTCTCTCTCTCTCCTCTCTCTCTCTCTTCTCTTTTACCTTTTTTTTTTCTTCACTTTCATATGTGTCACAGGAATAACATTTTTTAGTTGATCTTGTGACCCTTAGGTAAGTGCCAAGTCACAATCAAACATTGGGCATTTTCAATATTGTGATTTTTATTTTTCATTTTTTTCTTGTAATTTCTCTTACACTGTTCGATATTAACATTAATAAGATCTGTAATTGTTGCAGAAAAGTTGAGTGTAATACAGTAAAGGATGATTCTTGTACTAAGTATAGACCACTATAGAAGTGTATCTACATCCACTAGATTCCCATCTCATATTTAAATACTCATGCAATCAGTTAACCTAAGAGCTGTTTAATTTTCTAATTTTTTTTTACGGCCACCCCGAGGTAAGGTTAAATTATAAATAAATAAAAACTCATTTTTTTTGGGTAATTATTACCGCCCGTCTTAACTACAAATCTTCTGACACGTGCACCTTTATGGTATCAAATTCAACATAATCTTCTAAATTACGTGGAATGTTCTCTAGTTTGTACTCGTTTTGTACAAAAATGTTGTTTCTGATGCACCACAATCTGATATTTACAAGCCAAAAGACACATCTTTTGATCATCTTGTGTTCAAAACGTGGGGCTCGAATGGGATAAACTAAAGAATATTACACGTGATCTAGAAAATTCCACTAAATTTGATACCGCAAGAATGAACGTGTAAAAAGATTCATAGTTGAGGGAATTGACTTTAATTACGCAAACATGACAGGGTACGTTTTTTTTCGTAATTTACGTTAGATTATTGTTAGTTCATATTCAAAAGTGGATATAAATATGAAATAATTGAATAATCAAATCCTGCACAAGGGCAACACAACCATGACCGTTGCCTAGCATTTAATTTCTTCAGCAGATATTTTTTTTTTCTTAGTCAGAGATATAATATAAACTTTAATTTATTATATTTTACATAAATTTTGTATTTAATTTTTTTAATACTCCTGAAAACAAATCCATACTAATAATCTAATACACAAGAAGTTGGGCTGGGCCCACCAATTAAAGAACAATCAATGGTATGGATGTAATTAATCCCTGGTCCCTCTTTTGCTCCCTTCACTATAACTTTCTTCATAACTCACAATACTAATATTTATTATACACTTCAATTTTGAAAATCAATTTAAAATTTATACTATTACAAATTTCACATATATATTTATATATATATATATATATATATATATATATATATATATATATATATATATATATATATATATATATATATATATCATAATATATGGTTGTTGCAAACGGTCATTTTCTGAAATCATGTGAGGGATGTTCCCACCATAGTTGTCGCTATGCTTGTACATTACATGTGATAGTAAGACCAAACTCTGTGCCACCTACTCTATTCAAGATTCCATGTTACATTACTATATTTGTTAATTACCCTAAATTAATTATATTATGCATCAAAGTCGAAAAATCAGTCGACGCATTTTCAAATATTAGTCGTTTCGTAATTGATACAGGTCCAACGTTGTCGTTAAATAAGTATCCAATATCGAGTAGGACCCATACGATTATGCAGGTTCAAAATACGCACACTTAAGCTAATGGGCTTAACCACAAAGTTATCAACTAATTACACATTTACCCTTAAAATAATACTAATTTTGGATAGGTATAGTATAGAGGTAAATGAATGCAAATATAGAAAATGGTACAAAATATATATAAGTTAGAACTTCCAAGAATAGGTAAGTATATTATTGGTAGGAAGTGGCAACTAGTGGTTCATCAAGTACATAGTCATGTGCCCCAACAACATTCATCTATATATTATTTATTCTCATTAAAATTAAATTGTCATCTAATTTATAAATTTGGAATCCAAAGGCAAAACCTAACTTATGGCAAATCCAAAATTGAAGATATTATATTCTGAATAAAAAATAATAAATGCAGTTTGAATATTATTTTATGTAAATTTTTTATTTTTTATTTTTTGTGTGGAGGGTAATTTTGGAATTAATTTAATACATAATAAGTAAAAATAAATTAGCAGATCTGGATAAAATGATTGAAAATGACTCAAATTATAATTGTTGTCATTATTCTTGCAACATGGCCAACAAAGATTGCTGTCCAACACTAAATTTGTGTCATTCCTAAATTGCCCTTTTGGTGTCTAATATGAAATATCATCTGTTAACTGAACCTAACCCTAAATGAAATCCATCCCTATTGTAATTATTGCATATTTGCTAGCTGTAAATGTTATTTATCAATATATTAACTCAGCATTAATTCAGTAAAATTAATTTTTAACTGTGATTGTAATTGATGATTAGATATTTTGTGTGACCTGGCAAAGCATACAGTGTCTTTGACTGTTGTTTGCACCAAACATGAAATCATCATGAAAAAAGGTCTGACCAATTAATCATAAAACGACAAAAATAGTTGACTTTCCTATAATTCAGGCCTCACTATTTTGCATTCACCCTTTTTATTTTATTTTTATTATAACTAAATTAGTAAAATTACCCTTAAAAGTCTACTATTTGAAAAGTTTCCTCCTAAAAAGAAGTACCCACGAAAAAAAATTTATTTTTAATTTAAAACTAGAAAGAATACTTTTCTGTTTTTCTCTAAAGAAAAAAATTACACCTCAGTAACATTATTATTTAATGGGAACAAAATTCCATAAAAAACGATAAAAATAGAAAATAATAAATATTAATAAAATAAGAGAGAGAAAGAGATTAAATTTGGGGACACGTGATTGGGTCGTACCAATGTTAGTAGCAGGACCTGGGCCCACCAGATGAGAGCCCATTATTAATGTTGTCATTAATTATGGACCTGTTCTCATTTTCTCCTACACCGTTAAATTATATTAGTTAATTTTATCTTTTATTTAAAAATAAAAATAAGAAAAACAAAAAAGTAATTTTAAAATAAAAGAATATTTTTAAAATATGGCCCATTTTTTGGCCCAACCAACAAAAAACTGCAACCCGTTTAATCTCTTGCGGGCTTTTTTAAATAGGAATAATAGATTTAATATTTTAATAATAATAATAAATAATGAAAAAAGCCAAAGTGGTAAAGGTGAAAGTCGGGACACACCCCGCGCACGTATATAATTAAATTCAAAAATACGATTTAAATAATATATATTAAATGAATTAATTGTTTTCTCAAATAAATTAAATAGTCCACCTTTTGAAAATTGAAATAAAATTAATTAACTTTTCCCTTTTTTTTTTCTTTTCAGAATTTGATATTTGCTCGATTGCGCGATAAATGCACACGTTTTTAGAATTAAACGTTTTTATTTTCCTCCCGTTCTGGTTTTCGTGGCAAAAGTTTCTGCAGAAATCCAATTAATTTTTGTTGCGGAAAAAAAAAAAAGATGATCTTGATGGTTTAGGGCAACGCAACTGGGTTCATTTCATCAGTTTTTGACCCGAATGGGTTCTATCATGATTTCTGCTGGATTGGAAGAAATGAGAATAAGGGCAAAATAAGCCGCCAAAAGAAATTAACAATTTTGGCGGCACCTGTTGCTGTAGAAACTAGAATTATGCCTGAAACGACGTCGTCCCGTGGAGGTTCACATTGTTATGTTGAACTAAGAGGGGTCCAATGGCGCCTAGGTTTGGGGATTTTACCATCTTCTCCTTCTCCATCCATCGATGACCTTCGCCGGGTTACCGCCAATTATCGTAGAAGGTAATAAATACTGTTGACTTTTTTTTTTTTTTACATTCATTATCAAATTGCTTGCATTGTGGCTGAAAAGGGATCAATTAAAATTGATGCTGTGGTTTTTGGGTTTCAGAAAGTGGTAATTCAATAACCATCTAATTTCCATTATGTGATTGATTGTTCGCTACTAAATAGTGTCAAAATCGAGGTTTTCTCTTTGTTTAGTATGGCTGAAGGCAGGAGCTTAAAATCAATTGAGATTTTTTTCCCACCTTCTAAATATTGTTCTCCCATTCTTGAAGGTAACTTAAATAGAAACTTAAAACTATATCGTATCGGTGAATCATTGCTTTAAAGTATCTCAATGGTTAAGTGAAACAATCGACAAATATAGCATTTTCTAATAATGTTGATCATGGTCAATGGAATTGAATCGTGCTATTGCATTTTTAATTTTATGCGTACTCAGTTTATGTGTTGATTTCTGCAGATATGCTGCTTTGAGGAAACAACTTCTTGTCGATCCACATGTGCCAAAAGATGGAAGTAATTCTCCAGGTGTCGTCATGGACAATCCTTTGTCACAAAATCCGGGTAAGAAATATTTTAATTTATTACCCTTTTAACATTATACTCATCAGCATTGTCTCTCTAATCTTGTCAAGAATTTATTAAAAAACTCGATGTGGTTGATGTTTCTCTTGCAGACAGCATGTGGGGTCGTTTCTTCAGAAATGCCGAACTGGAGAAAATGGTTGATCAAGATTTGACACGTTTGTATCCTGAAACGGGTAGCTATTTTCAGACAACTGGATGCCAAGCCATGTTAAGGCGTATACTCTTGCTCTGGTGCCTTAGCCACCCAGAATATGGCTACAGACAAGGTATATATATATATATATATATATTAGATCTACTCACATTAATTTCTCAAGTCTTCGTAGTTACTGTTTCTTCTCATTTATATACAGGGATGCATGAACTCTTGGCTCCATTGTTGTATGTTCTTCATGTTGATGTGGAACGTCTCTCGGAAGTGGAAAAATCTCACAAAGACCACTTTGCTGACAAATTTGATGGCTTTACCTATCATGAAAACGGCGACTCCACATATAAGCTCGATTTCAAGAAATTTGATGGGAGTGATTCTGACAAAAGTTCTGCAAAAGCTAATAATCTGACCGAACTCGATCCGGTAACACAAACCATTGTCTTACTAAGCGATCCGTACGGAGCAGAAAGTGAACTCGGTATTGTCTTGTCTAAGAAATTTATGGAACACGATGCCTACTCCATGTTCGATGCCTTGATGAGTGGGGCCCACGGTGTCGTTTCCATGGCAGAGTTTTTCTCTCCATCTCCTTATGGCAGTTCACTCACTGGTTTCTCCCCGGTAATTGAAGCTTCTTCAGCAATGTACCATTTGCTTTCTGTTGTGGATTCGCCTCTTCACACTCACCTCGTTGAACTAGGAGTTGAACCCCAGTATTTTTCGCTTCGCTGGCTCAGAGTATTATTCGGACGTGAATTTTCCCTCGAGGACCTTCTCTTATTATGGGATGAAATCTTTGCATGCGACAATACAAAGTGTAAGAAAGTTGAGGCAGAAGAGTCTTCTAACTGTGGAGTACTCGATTCACCTAGGGGAGCATTCATCTCGGCTTTTGCAGTTTCGATGATACTCAAGCTGAGAGCTTCGTTGCTCGCAACTGGAAACGCCACTTCTTGTCTTCAGAAATTGGTGAATTTTCCAAACGACGTAAATCTTGAGAAGCTGGTAGCGAAGGCGAAATCTTTGCAAGCTCTAGCAGCAGAGGTGAACAGCTTGAATTCCATCATGCTCGTTCACAACGAAGTAAAACCAGCGAGTGCTAGAGGTCATAGTCTCTCTCTAGATTCTTCGTCATATCCAAGAACTTTGCTGAATGTGGTACCAGAGAGCTATTGGGAAGAGAAGTGGAGAGTTTTGCACAATGAAGAAGAACACAAGCAAGGTGTTGGAAAAGAAGAAGTTCCTAAAATCAGAAAGGGTTGGTCAGAGAGGGTTAAACTGCGGTTATCAAGAACTGAAACCGATCCTCCACCATTGATGAAAACTGTAAGTATTAAATTACCAGAGGAGCCATCTTCTGTAATTAGAAGTTTGTTCGGATCAGACGAAAATAAAGAAAATTCAGTGTGTGATGAAGTAGTGGAGCAACAGGGTTCAGTTGAGGTTGCTGATAAGAAATTTGGCAGCGGAGAAATTCCTCTGAATTTCTCGGATCCACCAAGTCCTATACACGGATTGGAAAATAGTAGTGTTGCATCGAACTCATCAGTCGATGAAAATGAAGCTGAGTCATGTGGGACCCACCGAGAAGGCTGCCCCCCTGTTGGTGTCTCTGCTGTCTCTAATGGCCCCCCTTCGGAATATGATATCCAAAACGATGAATCGACGGGAAAATCAGTAGCAGGAGTGAAGGAGAGAAGTTTTTCCGGCAAATTTCTGTGGTTACGGAAGTTTGAGCAGAATGGGGTTGAGGGAGCAACGTGTGAAGGGTGTGATAACTCTTGTGAAAGCAGTAAAGGCGAGACAGTTGACCAAAATACGATGGTTAGCCTGAGGAATCTTGGTGAAGCCATGCTCGAAAATATTCAGGTACTTGATGCCAAATTAATTATCCAAATTAATCCAGTTATTTCTTAAAACTAAAATTCTTTTTATCAATTTTGGGTGGGGCAGGTGATTGAATCTGTCTTCGAAACGGGGTCGCCAGAGAATGGAAAAGTCACAGCCATGTCGGCGCTCAACGAGCTCAGGAAAATAAGCAATCTTCTATCCCAGATGTGATGTGTATGCACCACACATTTTGTAATTATCTCTCTCTTGATTAGCAACAATAAATTATGATTTGGATTCATAATATGTATGTATATGTGTATATATTTACGGTGGATTAAATAGAAATCACGATTTACAATAGAGCATTTCTAGTTGTACATCACAATATTGTATCATTCATTATTCAACAGAGCCAAGAAGAAGCACAAGAATTCTCAGATTTGCAAGTTTAATATCCAAATCAAGAGCAGTGGTCAAATCAGCACTAGTAAATTACATTACATTAAAAATAAAAATAAAAGAATTGTCTGAAAATATAGCAAACAAAATCATATATTATTACAATCAAGGCCACAAACAAACTTCGTCATGCTTAAACCTTGTTTTGGTTCAATGACCAATAATATCCTTTTTACGGTTGCTATTTACAGCTAATCTATGTTGTGAAAGCCCGGAAGAAGTGACGTAATGAAACCAAAGACAATCATTTGTATCTCCTTTACAATTACCCACAAGCGGTTGTTGCCAACTTCAGGCTCCGCTACATTTGCATGCTCGTTCTCGATAGCCCTATTCTCTTGCTCGTTCTCCCCATTCTCTTGCCCCTCTGCCATGTCATATATTATATTGTACTTCCAGGTACATTTATTACTTAGAATTAATTACACCACATGACATTCTCGAGAGTTTACCTGCTATGCCAACGTTTTCATTTCCTTGTTCTCCAATGGCAGCTAAATTGTCAGCCCTGACAGGAGCAGGCCTGGGCGGTTGAGGAGGTGCAGCTGCTCTTCGCATTCCTTGTGAAAGCCATCTAATCACGGGCGCAAGAGCTCCAGTTTGGTATCTGATACATTTCAAAATAAGATGAATTACAAATTTGATTTTTTTTTCTTCTCAAAATCGGCAGATGATTACAAAACTTGTTGCTTACAAGTAAACTAGAAAAGCTAAAAACCCGAGGAGAATAAATCTTTGTCCAGACCCTTCTTGGTTGAACAAGAAAATAACTGCTATCAGCTTTAAGATGAGAGGTAAATCAAGGTGAATAGCAATCTCAAATCTCCGAACAAAAACTTGTCTCTGAGGTCCAGCTTGTTGTTGTTGCTGTTGTGGTTGATCCCCCTGTTGTCCTTGCTCACCCTCAACCTGTCTTGTCTCGGGAGTACTACGTTCGCTGATGACAGCACATAAATTGACAATGTAAGAAAAAGCTAGCCAATTATTATAACTTAATCTCGATTACAACGATACTGAGTGAGGCTTAGTGAACAACTAAAAGATGCATCCCAGAGATCAAAAGAATTAAAACAAATTTGACATTTTTGCACCGATTCTGAGGGGGGCAATGGATATGCATGCAAATCCACATTAAAAAAAATTATTATCGAAAGCTTTGTCTAATCTCTGAGAAGGCATCTTATTAGTGCATGTTCAGTAAACATGGACATTAATGACAAAATGGCACAATACTGACATTTGACAAACAAAAACGAGAGAAACTCGTGACCTTTTTCACAAATCGTATTTTTTCTAAAATGCACAAGTCCATTACATAATGAATTTATAAGGCAAGATAATAACGAGTTCCAAGTAACATTCAAAATAAATGACCTAAAATCAGGTTAAGATGACGAACATTAATATGAAATACTAATTACGGTACATTACTGAATCCTAAATTTGTGCCTGGAGTGTGAAAACACTTACGTAGGTAAGTTGTAGGTAAAAGGGATAAGAGTGCTGGAAGGAAAACCAGCCATATGTTGCATTTTTGGAAGAACCTGAACTGCATAGAGACCAGGCCCACGATTGATCTGTTCTTGGTCCTGTTGAGGGGGGAAGAGCCCAAAACCAAGAGCAGGATACATAATCGGGAACATAGGGTTATTTCCATCTGGTGACTTTAAGCCACCGAACGCTGGAACCTGTCACAGTTTCAAAAGGGATTGGATCAGCGTACAGACAAACACAAGGGAGATGTCAACACGAAGTATTATTATGTCAGTCCTATCTTTACTGGAGAAACTTCATTCACATATCTCCATTTCCATGAAAATGAAAGCGTCGATGATACCACAACTTCGAATTATACAGAAAAAAGGAAGAAAAACATTATAATCAATTAAATGCATCTCATCAAAAGAGCCGACACTGAAATCAAGTTTTGTTCTTACCCTCAGCTAAAGCTAAATTCCAATACAAATTCACGAATATATACATGTAAATTAGTAGATAACACAACCCAAATGAAAAAGGAAAAATCATAAATTGTGATATGAATAAACAAAATCAAAACTTAAAAGATCATGACAATCCTCCGGAAAAAAATGATAAATGAAAATAAACAATCACACATTGAATCCACAAACTAGGCACATAAAAATCAAAGAAATCAACATAGACAATTAGGGCGTGAAACCGAGAATTTCAATCGGAGAAAAAAACGGACCTACCTTATCGAGGGGATCTTGAGTAGAAGATTGATCGGAAGATGACGTCGAAGGCTGGGTAACGGGTGCGTCCGCCATTGCAGAGTCTAATTCTGAAGATCGACGGAGCTCTGATCTGTAATTGAGAACGATCCCTTTTGTTGGATTTGTATCCCTAATTTCTTTCTCTGACTATTTTGAATTTTCTCTTTCTACAAGACACTCCTAAATCTACGTGTCGTCAAAACTCTGTCCAATAAGGTTGTGCCACGTCTGCAATCCAGGTATTGCCACCTCCAGTTCTTGTAGATGACATACGTACAACTCTACGAGCGGAAGGTACAACACTGTTTTTTTTTTTTAAATTAGGTCCATCATAAACTTACCAATATTTGATTTATTTACATAAAAAAATATAATAATATTGATGAGGAATTTGCACAATTGATTTTATTTTTTCTTCGAATTTTTTGCACTTGATTAGAATTAAATACAAACAGCAGGTCCATCGATCGAACCCGAGTACGTTCGATCCAGACAGAAAAAGAAAAAAAGTACATATCATGAAGCAAAATATCATTTTATTTGCTTGTTTACAACATGATCTAGTTCAGTGAAACGCTTAAATAGAATCTCGAATTCGGCTAAGAAGAACGATAATACATGTAGCTTATTAAATTTCGGACCACAACATAAATAAGAGATGAATACATAGTTTGTGTTAGAGGCCGAAGCCAATCAAAAAAAAGGCTTCTCCATCTGTGCAAAGTTTATCAGCTCTCTTCATTCATTCAGTCTTTCGTCCATGCTCGGGATATATCTACAATGGCGAAGAATCCTCTCTGGAATCGAATAAAATTACGCCAAATAATTATTAGGTAAATAAGCACAATGAATCGGTCGCGAATTTGGGGCAAGATTGTAATTGGCTCGCTCACCCAAAGATTCAATTTTTAATGAAAATTATAGTTCATCCTTCCTCATCATCGGAGCTGGATTCATTGTCTGCATTGTTTCGGTCTTCATTACCTTGAATTTGCACCTCGATTTCCATAACTGGAATAGGATGTAAGGGGGGTGTGCCTGCAAAGCAAACAGCGCGTAAAAAAATTCAAACGAGAGCTATGGATATGAAATCAATTCAATCAAGCTCAACGGATTTTGGAAATCCTTCCCATCAAACGCAACCTTGAGTTATTTATTTAAAACAGTATTTTTATGCGGTTTCTAGAGATTTCGTCAAGACAACGTGCATCAAATTTGGAAAAAAATTCCGATTGAATCGAAAGCTGTTATTCTTTATCTCCATCGCCAAACCGGAAATCATTCTATATAATTTTGCAGCAAGTCCACAGCTATGAGTAAACATCAACAGAAGTCTTCAAGACCTGGAACTTTTGACCTGGATGATCTTTTCCAGCATCTAATTTTATTCCGATAACCAATGTAATCGAAATTCCCAGAAAATTCAAATTATCACTAACTAATGATACCTAATTCAATGTAATTGAGAAATTCACAAGGGGCAAACCTAATTCAATTGGAAAATTGAATACTATAATAACTCACTGCTCTAGATCTGGAAAATCCATAACCAAAATTATGTTAAGGAAGTTTGAATTAGTGGATTACCTTGGATATAGAAAGAAGAAGACGGCCAGCCCTTGGCAGAAGTGAAGGCCATATTTTCATCTTCGGAGAACAAATCGAGCGGTGAGCCCCGATCTCTACCCACCCCTGAAGAAGCTAATCTTCCGATGATATCAATCATGCTGCCGGAAGGGTGGTTGGGGCGCATAGGGGAGGTGCGGGGTGGGACCCAGAAGGAGTAGCCGGGGAGGAAAGGGAGCCAATCCGGTGCGGAGCGCCGCACGATGATGCTGTGGATTGCGTCGTCGAGCTTTTTTATGCCGAGGGTGATGACCTCGGCGGCTGCCTCCGGCGAATCAGTCTGCGATGAAGAGGCCTGATCGACATCGACTTCGATAAGCTGAGCGCGGCGGGATTTGTTGGAGCGGTGGCGGTGGTGGCTGATTAGTGGTGTTGGTGGCCGGAGAGATGATCGGGGAAGGGATCGGAAGACGATTCTAGACATGTCAAATCAGATGATGAAAATCTAGAGAGAGAAATTAATAAATAAATAAGAAATTCAGGAAAATGTTTTCTTGGTTGTTGGGATTTTTTTGAGCGTGGTTGTGATGATGGAGTGGATAAACAACTGGGGAAGAAGGAAGATTCCTACTTTCAGCAGACTTCATTTGTTCGAACCGGGTTGACCCGGTTTTTAGATGCTTCATCATCCAGTTCATATCTCGAATCTAAAGCGGCCCAGTGATTTATTTGGGCCGGCAGTACACAGCCCAAACAGGTTCAAATTGAGAAAACTCGATCTTGACCGTTGATTCTCTCCCTTTCATCTTGACCATTCATCCGAGTATAAGTACTCTCTTCGTCCACTTCCGGCGATACTCCGATGGCTCGGGTTCCGGTGAAGAATTGAATAGAATTGTGACCATTGTAATAGAATTGAGTTTATATTATGTTTACATTGTAAGGTCGATTCAAACGGGTGCCCGACACAAACGGATATTCACCCGGTCAACGAAATAGTTATTAACATAAACCTTTATATAATGCTTTACATCTTGGAAGTCTCTCACAACAAGCAGCAAAGACAAGAAAATATTTCTGCCTAATGTCAACTTGTATATATGTTACAATTTGAGATTCTCCTCCACTGTTTAATTAATAAAGAATGAAAGAATAATTAATGAATATGAACCAATAAACAACGAACAATTAATTAACTTGACGACATGACCTCAAGTCTAGAGTAACGTATGGTTTCCATGTGGTGGCATTGCGGTCGTTTGTGGATAGCCAAAAGGGTCTCCAAATGGATTGAATGACCCACCCATTTGCGGCATTATTTGCTGTTGAGTAGTGTACTGCGACGACGATGATGATGGGTACGAGCTATGTGTATGGGGTGCCGTCATCATCATCATCATATTATACTGCTGTGGCTGATGATGTTGTTGATGATGATGATGGTGGTGGTGGTGCATGACCATGTGTTGTTGATGCATAGTCATCTGCTGCTGCTGCTGCTGTGACATCATTCCCATGTGATGAACATCTGTATGAGCTGGTCCGACGTTGTTTGTCATGGCGAAGGGGTCGTTGTAACCATTACCGTAGGCTGTGCTGTATCCAGCACTATGCAGCTGTAGTTGTCTCCTGCTGAAATCATCATCGTACAGACTGTCGAGCAACGACTTGTTGAAACCACCAGCCTGATTCCAATGCCAAAAAACCGAACAAGCCAATGTTAGAGATTTTTTTTTAAATGTAAAAACTGATAGCATGCATTTTTTTTTAGAGATTTTTGTAAGGTGATTAAATGAGACGAGAGACCATTTTGGTTTCTGCTACTTGGGAATTGTTAGTGTTGCTTGGTGTAGTGACTAGTGCCAATTCCCATCCAGAAACCTTTCCGATATCGTTTAATGCATTGTTAGTTGGTAGTGCTTCATTGCCTGCAAGTATTTAATCATCTCTTAATATGATGTAACTTTTCCACTTATATGGTCAACCCGAAAAAGAATAAAGTTGGAAGAAATTCAATTATAAAAATTTATGTCGTATAATTAGAGGGGATGAATAGCTGAATTGTATAACTTCTGAAAGATTACCAGGTTGAACAATTGCAAGGGCCAATGCGTTATTTTCCTCTATTTGTGAGGCTCTCGGGTTTATTTCGTCCAAACCCTACAGCAGATTTGCATAAAATATGTAAAACTTCAAGAACCACAGTCTCCAAATTTAAAAAAAAGGTACAAAATAGAAGAGGAACAAAGCTTACCAGCAGATCAACAGGTTCTTGAGCAGAGATTAATGGTGGATTGGCTTTAATCCTAGAGATAGATTCCTGTCTAATCTTAGACACAGGTTCCTCTTGAACCATCTTTTTCTTGTGTTCGACTTCTTTGGCTTGTCTTTTGCTTTCTTCTGGAGCTGGTTCTTCAGGTTTTTTAGGTTCTTCTTTTGTCCCTGGTAACGCCTATTATAAATCGTAACCAATCGAAATATTAGGCTTTGTTGAGCTTTGTGAGCAGAAGAAAAACAAAATGGCATCTAACAAGATGAACCTAGCCATGTTAGACTGAACTTAAGGAAAAATCTTTAGAAACTGAAGTACGTGTGGGATCAAATGCAAGATGTTATCGAACATATGTAGATTTTAAGAACCGTAACTGCAATTAGAACATTCTGTTGACTAAATTGTGCATCCGGATGACAGATAATAAAAAGTCTATATGTACTGACCAGTCTTTTTTGTGACCCTGAAGGACCTGCCTGAGATGCTTCCTTTATATATTCTTCCATAGTTGCAAGAAAAGAAGGCGGCGGCTGCGATTTCATAAAAGTCAAAAAAAAAAACAAAATTTAACATTGACAGAACAAATACTAAATATAAAGGTTATGTCTAAAAGAAAACCTGTCTCAACGTAGGGAACTGAAAGGTCTGAGCCAGTTCCAAAGTTCTGCAGAAGCCATAAAAATCAGCTAGATGATCTGCCTACACAAGCCAAGGACTAAACGTAAGACCACAAAGATCAACATTTGTGTATATGAATTATCGATCAAGAACGTTAATTCAGGCACAGTTATTCTGGATTATTTGATTAAATGAAGATATAGACCTGTCTTCCAGCTTTTTTGTAGATGTCAAGAGCTCTGACTGCGTCGTGTTTTGGCATTTCAAAAAACTGTAGAATAAAAAAAACGAAGTTATCTCTCACATTGTAAATTCTTAAATCGACTGAAGAGATTCAACTTTGTCGTAGATGATGAATCATACCGTGTCCACCAGATTAATAATCCCATCGTTGATGGCACAATATACTTTGAAGCTCTCTTTCACAACCTGTCATTTCATAATAACACAAATATCCATTATATTAGTTTATCACTTTGTACCAAGACTTTTTAAATCAGACTTTGTTTTCTCTTACCAGGGCCAACGCATATTGGACGACAAAATTGTGCCGAGCTGCTCCTTCAGGCTACAATTTTTTTTTTAAATAATCAGATTCCTTTTTGAGGCAAAAAAAAAAAAGAAAAAGAGTTTTGCGCGACGATTATTTCAAACAAATAGTGAATCGAGAGTTACGAAAATGCAAGTTAATCTGAAAAGAGTCAACCATTACCTGGCAACAGACTAGGCGATATAGAAGCTGTTGCAACTCAGGTAGCTGCTCCAACAGTTCTTCAGCATTCATAACCAGGGGGGGCTTACTCTGATATAATATAATATAATAACTAGTTTTGATTTGAAATTTTCAATTCTTTTAACGAGAAATCTAATATGAATGAACTACAAAAATGAAGAAACAATACCTTAGATTCTCCAGAAGCTGATTTCGTCCCTTTATCGGACTCCGTATCGTAGTTCAAGTTCCTTAAACATTGAAGCCTTTCTTCTAAAAACAGTGCGTATGTTCGTACCCAAGCAGAGCAATCCCAAGCTGCAATAAAACTATCTAAATGTCAAAAAAATATGCTCCAAAATATAGAAAAAAATATTTGTACCTTTACAGAGAGAATTTTTACCTACAGGACCGGAATCATCCTTGAAATTGGATATTTGAAATAAATTTCCTCTTCTGGAGAAGTGTGCTAACTCTTCTCTGAAGCTAGGGTCGCCTTCTCTTAGTATCCTATGGAAAACTATCAAACACTTTATGGCCACCTGAAATTATGCCGTCATTAGCACACCTGATCGAGATTGAATCATCTCGATCTCATAACTTATAGTAGTTATTGATTCAACATAATAGCATAAACAAGTAAAACATCACCACATTAAAATCTCCTTTCAATCACATTACAATCTGGTAAAATTTAATTTGAAATCCAAGTTATAAAAACAAAACGGTGAAAGTGAAATGAGTTGGTAGACTTACAATCCAGCTGTGTGTCTTTGATAATCTCTTGGAAAGTGCATGAATGCAATAGCCAACATCAGCTCTCGGACAAGATATCGCTACGGCTGCAAATATCTCTGGAAGAAAGTCGAAATCGTGAATATTCCAGAACAAAGTGACAGAAACAACATTTCAAAAAAAAAAAAAAACCTCGATCAGAGACATTTTGCAGAAAATCCAATTCCAAAAACCAAACATGGAACCTAAAATCGACACGGAAAATAAAAAGCACTCACTTCTAACATGGCGTTCTTTTGGGGGACGTTCGACATGGTTGGTGGCCTTGACAATTGCAATATCCAATTCCTAAAACATAATAAATCAATAAACGCGGCAAACAAAATTAGGCTGATTCAAAATCTGAAAATGAAAATGCTGATGAAGGAATCGAATGTAAACAAACCTTGAATTCGCTATTGACCTTAGCTAGGCCAACCTTGGTGGAGTCCTTGAGAGCCCCGTATGCTTTTCTAAAGCTTTCCATTCACAGGAAAATGCACCCAATTGTCGCATGCAACAAAACTCATCGGCCAATCAAAATCAAAATCAAAATCAAATTCTCTGCTGCAGATCAACACAAACAAACAGGGGAGAGAGAAATCCAAGATAGAGAGAGAGAGAGAGAAGAGGGGCGCGTGTGATTCGTCCTTCCTCTCTTGTTCTCTTTAACCAATTTCCAATTACCAATATAACAGAAATATGAAGTTCCAACTTTCTCTCTCTTCTTTTTCTCTGTATGCTCTCTCTCTCTCTCTCTCTCTAAGATAGAATGTTCTCGCTTCGTAAATAACCTCTCCAGTTAATATGCATGCATTTCGCCCTCTCAATATCTCCATCTTGTATATATATATATATATATATATATATATGTATTTTGCTCCTTTAAATTCATTTTTCTTTTCAGAATATTTAAATATTAAATTTTATTTTTTAATATATTAAAATTATTAATTTTCATTAATTGTATATGGTATTGGGCTTCCATTAATTTTTCAGATAGGCCTATGCTTTTAATGATGGGGCTAAAGCACATTACCCATACATGTATTAATTTGAATACAATTTAATCAAGAATTAGTTTCATTAATTAATTGCTACCTTTGCAGTTTTGGCCCTTTTACTATAAGGTGGTGTTTGCAAATGATTATTTAAAAGTAGAAGTTAGTGATTGTGATTTAAGTTAGTTTTAAGTGCTTATTTCTAAAAGTTGGGGGTGTTTGCAAATATTTCGGAAAATGAACTAAAATTGAAAAAGCAGGGTTAGGGGTGCTTTTAAAAAAATAGCTTAAAACAGATTATTTTAAGAGAAGCAAAAGCAAAAGTTGATTTTGCAAACACCTAAAAACAGATTATGAGCAAAAACAACCGCATAATCACTTTCAAAAAGCATTTGCAAACACCACCTAAATGTTACATCAGATGAAATAATACACCAAGTACGCGTATCACCGTAAATCTATACACAATCACACATATATACACACACGCGTATGTACGGTAGGATATTGCTCGATTCACTTCACTGGATATGACAAAAGTACCCTTGGACTAAGGTTGCAAAAACTATAACCAAGGGTATTCATAACCATATACTGAATACCAATTGCATTTGCCTTTCAAGAAAATTGCTATTGACACACCAGATATGTATGTATATACATGATACAAAAAGAATTCTCAAAAATTGCCTACAGTTTGAACTCGTGCAGTAAGGCACCTCTCAAAAATGCGTATTTTCGCAACTCAAAAACTTCACTACCCAGTTACCAAAGTGGAGATCGTCTCTTCATAACGACGAAGAACCATTACTCTTCAAACAATCCGATTTACGCTTTTTTGCAGCTAGTCGAGGTCTCAACTGCAAAGCATTTATCGAATATTATATATATATTTATATACTATAAAACATAATACAGCAAAACCGAAGAAGGAAATGCAGAACGCACCATCTCTATATACTTTAATTGCTTCATCACTTCTTCCGTGTCTATCTCCTGAATCATCGCCGACCGATTAAAAAAAATGTATTAAAACGATTTATTATAATCTTTTAACTATTTATTTATAGCTTTTAAGAGGGCAAAACAGTAAATTACCTGGGGTACGGCACAATCTGCATGAGCTGGATCCCAAAGAATACAACGGTAGCATTCCCATTTATCAGTTTGAACTTCAAAAAGAGGTGCCCTACCATATTTATATATTAAGCTCTAAAAATTATTCAACAACGTAATTCCGAAAATTTATGCTGATTTAATTATCGGAAAAATATAAAAGTTACCTGCGCCATTTTCCACAAACAGTTCCATCGACACTTTCTCCAATGCCTTCAATGACCTCTCGACACTGAAGCCAATTACCGATCGAACTTAGCCTTAGAGATTTGAGAGAACCTCGTTCCTGGAAAGAACACCATACTTTTATGTTCCACATGCTGTATCTATATACACGAACAAAAAAAAAAATTAAATCATCGAAAGTTTTACCTCCGTGCTAAAGTTATTACAACCATCCGTTTCTATTAGATCAGCAATATGATCGCATTCCCTGTACCAATTTTCAGCATCAAACTATTAAGAGCAGATAAATATATATATGCATGTATATAAGGAGCCAACTGTAATTTGCAAAGCACGAACGAGTATAAAACCGACGGAACATACTCGTGAATCGGGCCGCACCAATTAGGAACATCTGATTGAAACTCATCGCCGATTCGCACGTTAGACATATACGGCTCGGTGTCTCTGAACATGATTTCTAACGACCCTAAATCACCACCTTCCGATGCTGAACTACCGGCGGATTTATCTTTCAGTATTTTATGCTTCTTTTTCGAGCAAGAATTACAAAGCCACTCACCCACCGGTAATATTGTCATACGAGGATTGTAGCAAAAAACGTGAAATGCATCTTCGCAGTTATCGCATATCAGCATCTTTAACGTGCTTCCCACGCGCTTGCAGATTTTGCATTGCTTCGAGCAGTAGTTACTTTCGGTAGAAGCTTGATTCTGTCTAGTCCAAATTCTATCTAGAAGTCCCTGATTTCTGAGAATCGAAATGCATGCATCTCTTTCGGAAAGCTCTTCCGGTACCTTCTCGGCATTCAATGCACCGGACGAGGAGCACTCGCCTGAGTCATCAATATCAATATTCAAGGAAGGTAAACTGAGTTCCAAATTCGATTTCGACGACGAACAATTATCATCGGCACTGCATGCAGTTAAAACTCCATCCACGTTAGTTGTCAAGGCCTCTTCAGAACCAGCTTCTTCTGAACTTGGAACGACGTGCTCTTGTTCAGAACTGATAGCAGAGTGAGAGCCGTTGCTTGGTTTAGTTGTTCCATCGGATGAATGCACTGTGAAAATAGCATCAGGGTTCTTGCGTTGTCTCTTACGTTGGTACACGAAAGTCGGTGTGAAATTTCGAGACATTGTACTGGAGGATGATAGCTGGGAATAGTTTTTTGTCTGATTTAATAAACATAAGTCATCGTCACATCTCCTCCTTTCTGGAAAAAGCTGTGCACAGTCGTCAAAATGGTGTTGGCGGCAAAATGAACATTTTCTCCAATTCTCGGTACCTGTCATTCGTTCACATGAAAGCCTCGTTTCGTAGATTCATATGCATAAGAAAGAGAGAGCAAAGAGCAACTTCCACTTAACAACGATGGGAACCTCTGATCAGACCGACTTCTGGCAAAAAATGAATAAATCGAAGACTACATATAAAACTACAGAAAGAATGAGATAAAACTACTCAAATCGGATTCATATATAAGATAATCTATTTTTGCATTTTTATCCATTATGAAGATATCCGCATGATTAACAAATACAACGATTAATATGATATACACGGCCCAAAATTCAAATCACAATTCACAGTGCAATTTTACCAACACAGCTTAAACGAACTTACTATTCAACTAATAAAGTGCTATGTAGGAACCTAAAAACTAGTTTGCTGACAGAGAACTCGTCTTGCACTATACTATACCCATCTTAAAATGTCATTACCCGACTTCAAGATATCGGAAAGCCTATACCTACAACGAATAAGGCCTCGTTTGGTTGTCAAGATAAGATTAGCCAAGATAAGATTAAGTAATCTAATAAAACTCAATTGTATTATTGGACCTTGGAGGATCCAATAAAAACATGCCTAGAAGGCAAGATAAGCCATGATAACATAGAATTTGCGGGTCGACCCGGCAAGTTATTGGGGATACCAAACATCAAAGATGTTTCCAACTATTTAGTTAATAATGACTAATCTTCCTAACCAAACGAGGCCTAAGAGTAAAAAGAACAAACAAATTGGGCAAAAAAACAGCAATACTGGTGGGGCAAATGTATCTCAGATTAACTGTTACGCAAAGATCCATTTCCAGATAATAAATACAGTTACCGAGTTCGTACAATACGCTCCAGCTCTCTTATCTGGTTTAAGTAAACTATTTGAAATAACTAACACCAATTTTTTTTCTGTGATTTAAGGCCAAACATGTCACTACTTACAGAGATATCATTCCAAAAATTCTTGTCGGTGGTTTCTTGATTTGCTTTTACTGTTATAAAACAGTAAACAGGTGGTAGAAACAGCTGGCAGGTTCAATATAACGAACTGGAAAGTTTGATTACGTGAACGTTAGAGAGAGATTGACAAAGTGAAATTTATCAAGAAGGTGATTGAAACCCTGTAATACAACTTCCTTAGCAAAAACAATTTCAATTATAAGGCGGCTGCAAACATTAACTTCACGAATCAACTTGACTCGTTGCATATGCAGTCGTTTTTCTTTCGTTTGTGTATTTTAGACAGCCCATCACTCCCTAAAGATCCCTTTTCATCACCAGACTTCCCTTTAAATCGAAAATATAAATGTTTTCCGATTTTTTTTTCCAACTTCTATTAGATCACCCATCTGATTTCAAGAATCTTCCACCACAAAAAAGATGCTTTTGCCATTCTTTTTATCAGATTGATAACCCATTGCTAAACATAAACAACAATCATCCTTCTATCCCAAAGAGATTTCTTTTTTTTTATTTTTCGTTTCAAGGGTTTCTAGCAAGCATTCCTATAGTTCTAGCGGATAGGGCAAAATTCTGCACTAAGAATTCTCAAACGATTGCAAACCCATCAAACATTTACATCGGTTATACATAAATTTTAAAGGCATGTTCTTCAAACTGGATTTCTAGTCAACATAAATCATTCAAGCACAAAAAAAAATAAAAAAAATACATGACTACACTACATCCATTCAAGAAAGCATAAGATTCAACAAACAAACCAAGAAAATAAAAAAAATAAAAAACATTTGAATTTCGTTGTACCTTTAGACTGCCAATGGAGCAGTTGCATCAGTGAAGTATTGCTCTGACGCTTTCTGCAGGCTTTGGGGTTTTTTCTCCAAGAGAGAGTATTTTTGAGTTATGTACTATGTCACTATATTATTGATATGTGTGTATTTAGGCAAATAGACACAGGAATTTTCAAAAGTTTATAGAAAAAACATGCTTGGGTAAAAATACAAACCACTCTCTAAAAATGGGCTTTCATGTAATTTTCTTTTAGTTAGAAATATTTGAAGTGGGATGATTGTGGTCGAACATTCAGTGAAGTATACATCGAGTGGATCTTTACCGTTTATCGAAACACTATACGTAGATGTACGTGTGTGTTTTTGTGCAAATGAATAATGAAGATCTACTCGGAATTAAATGAACCGCTCGCGTAAATAGTGTGAAGAGTGGGTTCTTCTTACATTGATGAAATCTAAATCTTGGAATTTCTACTGCATTTAATTGCAATCTAATAATTTGAATTAAATTATGATAATAAAACACTATGATCTTTTAATAACTAATAATGTTCGTAAATACTTTGATTATAGAGAGAGTAACTTACATGTCAAAATAAATTGAATGAAAATTATATTGTGGGAAGTTGAATTTTAAAAGCTACTGATTTAACAATTTTTTTTTTTAAATTTACTCATGTTACAGGAAGTTAATTCAATCCCAGCAAGGAATTGAAATATAAGATATCAATCCACTCGTTACAATAATGGTTCGTAAGTTCAATTCCTGAAACGAAATAAATCTTTAAAATCTCATCAATGCAAAATTGGCTGCCAGCACACAAGGACACGAACATGCCCACACAGAGCTGCGATTTGGTCCCTTTAGAGTCGAATCAATGTAATGATCTGCATCACAATACCTGAATCACAGACTATTCGATCAGAAGACGACCTCAAAATGAGCACTTGTCAATTTCCTAATACGAATTTGATACCACTCCTTCGTAAATCCAAATAAATAGCTTAACAAATCGGTGCACATAAAACATACCTCATGATATGATAGTAGAATAAAACTTGGTAGAAAACGACTTTAGATCTGTGGCATTGGTGTTCTGTGAGGCTTTGGGGCTGAATAAAATAAAAACCAATAATTGATCAGAGAGATTGATGCCTGTAACTCCAGAATATACTAATTTCTGAGGATATGCTTACCATTTGGATTTCCTTGCTCATAGAAGCTTCTTAGAAGATTGATCGCTTCTGCTGCCATTATTCCTCCGGTGCAATTGAAGTCCTTTTTTGAAATTCCGTCGCTGCAAAGATATGTGAATAATGAGTTAATTCTTTCTATTAAACAAAAAAATGTTAGCAGTTAGTATCAGTCATCAATTCTCAATAATGATGAGCTTTAACTTGTTGCAAATTATCAGCTTAGTATCGAACCTCGTAAGCTTCCCGGAGCTCTTTGTATGCAAGGACAATACTGAACCACAACCTCCGAACTTATCATTTGCACAGCCGTAATACACTTCTTTTATTCCTGATACAGGAGCCATGAAATGCCAACTCAAAGTTAATGTATCGAATAAAAACTTGCAAACAGAATGCAAATAAATGTGCATGACCATACCAATAATCGATAACGCTGATGCACACATTATGCATGGCTCACATGTAACGTAAAGAATGCATGTTGAGAATCTTAACGCGACTTCTTCTGTTGTAACTCCAATTTTCTGCCACTGCTGAAGCAGCACATCAATTGCTTCCATCTCCGCATGCCGAGTGGCCTGCAGCCCAGCTATATTGTTAGCTAGAAGAAAAAAGTGGCAAAAGGAATAAGGATGTGGAGATAATGTCCGGAATATCATGCTAATCTTACAACCTATTATTTCCAATATCAGCATCGACTCAAAGAGGATTTAGAATGGGTTTGGTAGTTCCTTAAGACTGGCTGAGGAAACATATTAACATGTCCGAAATAGAAGATAACGCATGCAAGAAAAATGGGAAGTATAAGTAAACCAAAGGGATGTGACTAAGAAACCATAAAATTAAATATGAAAAAAAGGGTTTTGAACAAGCATGAGAATTAATGGAAAGAAAAGTAGACAGCAGCAAAAGCAAGCAGAGGAGAATACATTTCTAGTCTCAGTTGTTCGATTTCTCCCTGAGGAAATGACCTTCTGATCCTGGATGATTACACAACTGGTAAAATATTAAAAAAATGTAAGTTCGTGAGAGCCACATACTAACATTATTATCCATAAATATGTTCAGGATTATATTGTAATATCATCAACCAATTCCAACCATGTCACCTCAGTTAGATGTTAGAATTAAGGCTTCTATTGTACAAGTTTGGAGAATTAGATCAAAGAATATTTTTGCATATCTGTCTTGTTTTCTGGCATTTCTTTCCAATCGCAAATGGATACTGAAGAAATTTGAAGGAACGAACAGAAGAAGCTTACCCCACTGGTACTTCAAGGCTGTCCAATGCAAGCTTTGCCTGGCAAGAGAAAGGCCAGTTTATAAACCTATTGCAAAGACTTATATGGTAACTTCATCTTTTTATAGGCTCAAGTGATAAAAAAAAATTATACGAGCAAAAGTATTTCATTAACTATGAGAATGACACGGTGCCAAAATCTGAGAGCTAAGAATTAGCAATCAACGAAAATAACACCTCACCAACTGAGTTTATTGCTAATAAATTTACCATCTCTACTATCGATTCGAAGCTAACCTTCTGGTTTGTTGTCATGGCCTTTCCTTTAAACTAATGATAACTGATATGTCATTTAAAAAAAATGTCTGTACACTATGTCTGTTAACTATAATAACTGGCAAAAAACAAAACTCTAAATTTGGTCTTGCAAAACAAAACAGTAAGAGTGAAAAAAAAGATGAAACACCTGTTCTAGAGCGAGGTTCATAAATGCAACACTTTCTGTTTCTTGCACAGTCTCTTCAATAAGAGATGCCATCTGTATAGAAAAAAAAAAAGAAAGAAACAAAAGAGAAGAAAATCGAGATATATCAAAAGCTGAAACATCGATAGTTTAAATCTGCTATATCAGCCACCATAAATCAAAACTTGTCAAAAGTAACGAGTGGATTATAATTTTGTCTCCTGACCATGATTATGTTTATGTCATGATAGTGATATCCTATTGCAAGACGACAATGTCAGGGGATTTCGGCCTCTCTCTTTTTTATTGCAACCTGATTTCTTCTTCTATAATTCAGAGTAGCAAGTTTAGGCATACAGATATCGCCAAATCGTTTACGTCAATTAAGATGTGTGTGTGTGTGTGTGTGTGTGTGTGTGTGTGTGTGTGTGCATGGGTAATATTCTCGGGCTTGTAAGAGTGCGTTGTTAAAGATTAGTACATTTGGAGATTGGCTTTTTATTGGTTTGCATTCTGTGCTTTCTTGGCCCTAATTTTGTTCTTTTTGTACATGCTAAACTTATAAGTTGTTAAAAGAAGCTTATAAGCTCATCAATGTTTGGTAAATATTTTTAATTCTTTTTTTTTAATTCAAAAAATAATACTAAAAAAAACCATCTATACTACATTTTTATTTAAGACAAAGACTTAAAAATTTATCTGCTCTTAAAACAACTTATCAGCTGTTTAAAATAAACTTGGCAAAACGAACCCTTAATTATACTCAAGTCGTATATCGACTCGGCCTACATAATGCATGTCGACAAATTTTATTATAAATAAGTGAATCATAATTAAAATGAAAAAAAAGTCAAATAGTCTTAAATGTATACATTTTCATTTGACTTAATTGAAAGGTCATTTTCAAAAAT